CGGGCATGGTGGCGCATGCCTGTAGTCCCAGCTACTTGGGAGGCTGAGGCAGAAGGATCGCTTGAGCCCAGGAGTCTGAGGTTGCTGTGAGCTAGCCTGACACCATGGCACTCTAGCCCAGGCAACAGAGTAAGACTCTGTCTCAAAAACAAACAAACAAACAAACAAAGATGAACTCACAGAAGCAAAGAGTAGAATGGTGGTTAGGAGGGGTGAGGATAAGTGGGAGGTGGAAAGATGAGTGATATTGGTCAAACAGTACAAAATTTTGGTTAAATAGGAAGAATAAGGTCAAGAGATCTGTTGTATGACAGATAACATATTGTATTCTTGAAAATTGCTAAGTACGTTTTAAGTGTTTTCACCACAAAAATGATAAGCATGTGAAGTAATGCATATATTAATTAGCTCAATTTAGCCATTCTACAATGTATACATATTCCAAAACATGTTGTACACAATACAGTATATACAATTTTTATTTATCAATTTAAAATAATTACTCTTTTTAAAAACACGTGGTAAACAGATAAAACCTTGGGCCCTTGGTGCAAGCAGAAATCAGTAATTATGAGTGCCTTCCCTCATTTCATGCCCTCATACACACACATAAATTAAAAACCCATGAAGTTCTGTACCTCAGTGAAAGTGTAGATAGATTACATAAAAACCACCCCCTGGAACAATGAGATGACAAACAAGCTTTTCTGTCATGGCATAACCTCTGAAAGGGGGGAAAAAAGATTTCCCTTGACAATTTATATCATGGCTTGTACTTCCACTGATTTAGTTTTACAATAAAGAAATTCATATAAAAATCGCTCACTGGCCAATGATTACCTTGGATCTCTGACAAAAGATATATTTTTTTAAGATCACTAAAAATGAGTCTGTTTTTTTAAAAAAGCTATGAGGTATAAGACACAAAAGGAAGCAATCTACAAAGAATGAGTCAGAAGACACAACAAACCAAAGTGTTAAATCTTTAATTGCAAAAGGATACATCTATATGATACCGTTTACCCAGTTTAAAAATATAATATAGTAGTATCACTTACAGACATATAAATTCAATGACATTACAAAAGCATAACAGAAATTAATCATACCAATTTAAGAATAGTTGTTAACTCTAAAGGAAGAAAGGAGAAGGGACAGTGTCAAGAAAAGCCTGAAGAACTGTTTCAGACTGAAGGAGGATTGAGCAACATGCCAACTGGGTGCAACGCATGATCTTGACTTGGATGCTTTTGCTGTAAAAACAGTATTGGAGTAACTGGCAAAGCTTGAGTGAGGTTTCTAGGCAAAGGGTATACAGAAGTTTTTGTGCTGTTCTTGCAACTTTTTTGTTAGTTTGAAATTGTTTCAAGTTAAAAATTTTTTAAAGAAGAGGATAAAGATGAGAAACATTCCAGAGGAAAAAAATATCAAGACTAGATCAGTTGGAGGTGGGAAATAAGAGGAACAAAGGGGACTCAGATTTCTGGTTTAGGTGATTTGGGGCATACGATTCAACTTACCAATGTAGGAAACCCAAGAAGAGGAGCAACTTCAAGAAAAGCAAACTATAACAAGCTCACAGGTGGTTGGAAATTTAGGTTGAGGTGGGTGGTATCAGAAAAGAGCCTAAAACTGTACGCATCTTGACTTGATTACTTTATTTATTTAACAAATTATTTGAGAATCTACTATGTTGCCAGGCATGTAGACCATAAAAATGAGTAGGAAATGGTTGCTGTCCTTGCGGATTCACATCTGGTAAGAGAAATGGGATCTATCTGTAGACAAAGGGTAGAACAAATTCTAGAGGATGATGGGTTCATTTTCAACCTTGGTCACACATTATAATCACCTAAGGGAACTTCTAAACATCACAATGCCCAGTCTACACTCTGGGGGGTGATCCAGGCATCAGTGATTGCTTAAAGTCTCCAGGTAATGCCAATGTGCAGCCAAGATTAAGAGAGCAGTGGCTCTCGGCCAGGCGCGGTGGCTCACCCCTGTAATCCTAGCATTCTGGAAGGCCAAGGCTGGCAGATTGTTTGAGCTCAGGAGTTCGAGACCAGCCTGAGCAAGAGCGAGACCCCGTCTCTACTAAAAATAGAAAGAAATTAATCGGACAACTAAAAATATATAGAAAAAATTAGCCGGGCATGGTGGCGCATGCCTGTAGTCCCAGCTACTCGGGAGACTGAGGCAGGAGGATCGCTTGAGCCCGGGAGTTTGAGGTTGCTGTGAGCTAGGCTGACGCCACGGCACTCTAGCCTGGGCAACACAGTGAGACTCTATCTCAAAAAAAAAAAAAAAGAGAGAACAGTGGCTCTCCTCAGAACACCTGAACACCTCTTCCTTTGAAACATTTGGTAATAATGGGGGAAGGAGTGTGGAGAGGACAGGAGGTGGAAATAAGGGAATTTTGTTGAAGATGCTCCTGCCAAATAGTATGATGATTTATATTTTCTCTGTAAAGAAAAATTACCAAAGGCTGAGAATAAAGGTATATGAGAGTAAGGTAGGCATCTTAAGCAGAGTGGCAAGCTGGATTACAGCTATAAAGGACTCAAAAGGAAGAAGCGTTTTCTGAATCTGAGAAGAAACATTTGAGGAAAAGGATCCAGGGTTCTTTCCCCTAATGGTGGACAAGGTTTTGTGATCCTTTTGCAGAGATGAACATAGGTTATGGCAAATACACCTATTTTAAAGACAGAGATCTAGAGAGAGGGTAAATGTTTTTCCACATAAAGTACTAAAATAGACAATAAATGGGATAGGAAGATCACATTTCCATATTTCTGGAAAAATAAGTTGAAATGAAAGCAATATGGGGTATTTCAAACCTGGGAGATTGCATTATATTGGAGTTACCGTAGAAGGAGATGACTGTTTCTATTACCACAACAAAGAATAAAAACACAAATATTTATATGTTATCTGTTTGTCCTTATAATGCTTTTACTGCATTCATCTTTCAACCTTTAACAACAGCTATTTCATCTGTGACTGCTGTTATAGTAAAATACTGAAGCCTGAATGTGAGCTCATTTCATTGCCTGCTGGGCCCGCTTTTTCCCAGCCCTATTGTATTAAAAGGGCAAAACCACACAAAAAATATTCTTATTCTTGAAATACCAACGTATCTCCTTCTATGCTTGTACCTGTTGTAACTTCGTTCAAGCATAGGCTGTACCAGGAAGGTTTCTTAAGAAGTTACTTGAATGACAGGTTTTTGAATAGATTTCACATCCTATTCTCATTTGTTATTAAAATTAGTCAAGCTGAATTGTTAAGGGCTTTCCTATCTCACTCACCATCTTATACTTCTTTCTGTCCTCCACCTGGCACTGTGCTTTGTAGGCACCTAGTGTTGAACTGTAATCCAGCCCGCGCCTGCTGCCTTAAAGTAGTCACAAAGTCCTTGCAGCAGCAAATAGTTACAGAGCTTCTGGTGGGAGTGGGTAAGTCCCCAAAGGTTGTCAAGTAACCTGACTGAGCTTGAGGGCAGGATGATGTCTTATTCAGCATGCTATCTCCAGCACCTGAATCAGCGCCTAGCACACAGTAGGTACTCAACTATGCGGAATGAATGAACAGGTTCGGTGGGAACAATAAATTCAACACTGATCTGCAAACGTTCCCTGACTGACATGCAGGCCTCAGAGTCCAGCGTGGCACGCGGGAGCTACAAGATGACGAGGGCCTGTTGGTTCTAATTTCATAGATATTGTAATCCTATGCTGTTAACTTCCACATTTCCTCTTAAAACAAAAAGGGGCATTTGTGTTGTCTCCGCTGTGGATTCTCAGAGGTTAATGGGCAAACGTGCCATGACGCTGCGGCCTTGCGACCCAGCGGCGCGCCCCTCGCCGCACTGTCCACTGGAGCCGGGAGGAGCTCCCGACGCGCCCCGGGGCTGGGCCGCCGCAATCCTCAAGGGGGCGCTGTTCCCGCGATAACCTCCATAAAGGCTCCGCCCAGCGGCCGGCGCTCGCTTCCTCCGTGGGAGACCCGGCTCCACATCGCAGGGTCGGGTCGGGTCGGGTCGGGTCGGGTCGGGTCGGTCTCCAGCTCGTCCGCCGCGGCCGGCGCCGATACTAACCGCCGCACTCCAGGCCTGCCGGATTCAGCTTCTGGGCCGCCGCCGCCAGGGCGCGGCCTGCTCTGGGGCCCTCCTTCTCTTCCCTCGCCCCACCTCGTCCTCCCCCCTCAGGGAAACGACAGCTGAGGCGGCGGGGCTGGCGCCGCCTCCCTCCACCTACCACGTCTGCCCCCGGCGCCCCAGCCCTGCCGCGGTGCCTCCTCCTCCCGGCTAGATCAGCCGGCGGCTCCGCCCGGCTGCCGCCCAGGATGAACATCATGGACTTCAATGTGAAGAAGCTGGCGGCCGACGCAGGCACCTTCCTCAGTCGTGCCGTGCAGGTACCGCGGTGGGGACAAGGGGTGGCGGCGCCCAGCGAGAGCCAGTGAGGGGCTCCCCGCACCCCGGCCTCGCAGAGCGCCCGGCGGGCCTGCTGCAGCCAGAAGCCTGGGTAATGGGCGCGGCCCGGTGCCCCTCCGGGGCCCGGCGGCGGTTTTCTGCCCCGCTGCCGGCCAACCGCCGCTCCCCGGGAAGCGAGGCGGGGTGGGGACGGGGCCAGGAGCTTTCTTCCGCTGGAGGACACCTTCTTGAGTTCGCCCTCGGACCGAGGTGCTGCACTGTCGGCTTTTCTGGTTCCACGACGCCAGTGCGGGTGTGACCTCCATCGCGGGGCTGGCGGAGGCCTTACGAGTCCGGCGGGGTAACCGAAACACGAGCCATTCTTGCACCACCCCCACCCTTTCCTTTCGTCTCTCTCACCCTCCCCTCCGAGTCCAAGAAGGAAGTTTCCTTTTCCTGCCCCTCAAGCCAGTCAGTCGCAGATACAGTTCCCTCCAGCCCCCTCTCTCCCTGAAGGGACTGCCCCTAGACTTGGCAGCCCCCGGGGGAATAGAGATCGTCAGTTGGCGTTCAGATTTTACCAAGGCCACTGGAAACCTGGAGTTTGGACACGTTCTCATTTTCAAAATGAGAAGCACCAGCTGTAGAGCAAGAGAGAGATGGGAGAAGAATCATGTTGTTATGGCTGTACTGCCAGTGGTATATTTCAAACACACTTTAAGGGGAAAAGTTGACTACCTCTTCGTATTCTGCAATCAAGGAAGTGTCAGTAGTAGGGAACTTGGACAGTTTCCTACAGTCATCGCCCACATTATGCCAACTCAGTTAAATCTATGAACAGATGTAAATTTCACAACATGGGTTGTAAACAATCTGGTGTTTAATGACAGTCACAGTAGCAACATTTTCTTGTAAAGAGAAAACAAAAATAATTTTCTAATATATATACCAAATTTGTACTGAAGTGTACCAACTTTTCTTGTCTCCTTTGCCCCAATTTTATTGGCACAGTTGATCCTACATTGCACTATCCTTGGCAAAAGAATGATAGCGTTAGAGCAAGGTAATAGCTGCCGACATTGTGAAAAAACTGTATGTCAAGCACTTTGTTATGCATTTAACATGTTCTCTTTAGTCCTTTCCATAACTTTGCCAGATAGATGTTATTAACCCCCCTTTAATATGAGGAAGCAGCCTCAGAGTTTAGTAACTTGCTTAACTTGTGTGGCTAGTAAATAACCAGGTGCTGTCTGACCTACTGCAAGCTGCTTTTTCTTCCTGGGTAAGCATTGCAGGTTTAAGATATATAGAATAATAGAATGTTGTGACCTAGAGAGACCTTAAAGATTATCTGGTACAATATGAGCATTTCAATATGAGCAGCAAATAACACTTAAGAAATGGGAAATTCCTTCTAGCTTTTGGTTTCCAAGATCTAAAATCTGAATGGTGAGTAATAAGCTAGCTGCCTTAACCCTTTTCTCCCCCTCCTCCCCTAAAATATAAGATATATCGCAAAGACATTGAACCTTTACAGCTAAAATAATTTTTTCGTTCAAATTAGCCTACTTCTAATAGTTCAAACACAAGGGCCAAGAAGAATCAGTAATTGAGGGTCTGAAATGAATTTTGATTTGTGAGACACTACTTTTAGGCTTAATATTGACTACAATAGAGGATTAGAGCCTCTGGTATTTTTGTTTTAGTAATGATTAACTATATATAATTCTAGATGCTTATTGCAGACTTGACATTATATAAACCCACTCTTTTAAATATAGTTAGATATTTTTCAGGTACATAACTCACACTGCTTAAATAGGACTTGTTTACTAGAATTTAACCGGATTTAAATTGTTGATAGACTGGATTTAAAAAACTAAATCTAGCAAAACCCTCAAAAGGTGTACTTCCCAAATGAATTTTAATCACTTATTGTTTCGGATTCTTTAGGAAGAAGTTTTTAAATTCTGTCCTAATCTGTTAGCTATCAAATAATTTTCTTTTCAGTCTTAAATGTTTAAGTGCCCACTCCAGGTCTGCCTATCACTATTATGGACACTGGTGATACTACAGTGAATAAAATCGACAAAGAATCTGCCCTCCTGGAGCTTATATTCTTGCAGAAAACAGAGTTGTAAATACATCAGGTAGTTATGGAAAAAATGGCCAGAGGAATAGGGTAATGGTAGGGATGGTGATTGTTGCCATGTTGTTTAGGTAAGATGGTCAGGACAAGTCTGGATAGGATGAAATTCAAAGAGACCTTCAGGAAGTGACAAAACCCCAGTTTGTTTGTGTGTGCTTATTTTTATGTGTTTGAAGAAAAGCATTGCAGGCAGAGGGAACAAGTACAAAGAGGTTACAGGGCTACTAGGGAGACCAGTTAGCGAGGCATGGCCCTAGCATAGCAAAAGGTGATTGTGGTTTAGATGACAGTGGTAGCAGGGGAGGTTCGAAATCTATACGGTATTGACTGTCAAATTGGCTCTGAGGTGTGAGAGAAAGATGAGTCAAGGATGACTCCAAGATTTTAGCTTGAGCCATTTATTAAGAAGCGAAAAATTTCAGGAGAAACAGGCTCCTTTAATGTGTCTATTTATGAATAAATTTACACCATGTCTGAGATTTGCTTTAAAATATTTCAGAAAAAAAGGGAAGTAGTTGAAATAAGATTAGCAGAATGCTGATAGTTGTTGAAGCTAGGTTATGGGTTCATGAGGTTTTATTATACATTTTTCATTATACTGTTATATTTTTGTATAATTTGATATTTTCCACAATACTTTTTTAAAAATAAAATGTATAAGAAAAAGATGTTTCTAAAATATAATGTGTGAAATTTGGAATGCTGTGTGGTAATTTTCAATAAAACACCGCTTTCTCATTTCAGTATTTTAGTACCTAAGTTTCTACACTAAATTATGTTGACATCAGTATGATGCCAAAGTACTAAGTTTCATGCTAAGAATAGCTTAAGAGCTATGCCGGTATCTCTTTATAAGCAATAAGAACAGTAGGGAGGAAATTAAGCTTTCATATTTCATATAAATAATAATTGTCATTCAAATCAAATTGTACCTTAAGGAATAGGCCATTCTTTAGTTGGCCAGCTGCCATGTGTTTTTCATTTTATTAAAAAAATTTTAAGTTAAAAATTGAACATGTTTCTTGTTTTCAAAAGGTTAGATCAAACCATTAAAGCAAATAAAAGGGTCTCATCACCACTCCACTCTCCCCTTTTAAAATTTGTTTATAAATCTTGGTATTTTAAAAAAGGATATAAGGTTGAATATATAAATGAGTAGGACTATTTATTAACTAGTCCATTTGGGTGCTTATTTTTAACTACCTCAAGACAATAGACTACAAAAGCATTGGGTAATTTATCCTCCTTAAATTGTTACATTACTGGTGTTTTAAAAGCCATTTATTGGTTCTTAGAATCAGTCTTTTCAGTCCAGACTCCATAGGTGAGCATCAAATACTCCCTTACAATCTGGTCTTTTCCCTCACTCATATAAACACTGTATTCGATCAAGTTATTTTTTAAATTTCAAAATATCTTACACTTTTCTGACTCCAGGCTTTTTGTTCACACAGTTAAGCTCTGCTGAGTGTCCTCCACTCCCTCGCTGCCTTTTCTTTCCTTCCCTCAAGGTAAAGCTTTAAGTTCATCTCAACTATGAAGGCTTCTCAGACCACAAGAGCTTGATGTGAAATCCTGTATCATTTTTCAATTCTATATGGTCATGTGACATTTTTTGTTCTAATGAACTATTATATAAGATCCCTTAGAGCTCTAAAATTCTGTAACTCTTACGGCTTTCACAGCTTTAATAAGTTTGTATTTACTTATTGTATCAACTCTGTTTCTTTCTTATTCCCCTCTCACAGCATCCAGTGTGGTTCATGTTAATTTTTATATCTTTTTAGCCAAACAAGTAGTGTCCATATGCAAAGATTAGTCTTTGAAGGGCAACAAGAATCATTTAGCATGTTAAATAATTGTTATCTTTATTAGTATTTTCCTAACATACTCGCTGACCTTGAAGTTAACTAATGTCAGTCTAAAATATTAAACTGTTCAACCTACATTTATTGAGTACCTCCTAGGTACTTGACATCGAAAGATACAAAGAGACCCAGTTCTTGCCCTCAAGGAATTCATAGTTTAGTCCCAAATTTATCATAATTAAACATGTTATTCTTTGTAGTAAATATCCATTTTGTGAATTACTATTCTTCATTTGCTAGATCTTTCAAGTGGACGAAGAAACAAGAGATGCATTTTTAATTCAGAATTGACATTGAAACAACTTTACTCACCATCTTTAAAATAAGAGCATATACTTTTAAAATTTTTTCAAACCAAATTACTTAGGGAAGGGGTTCATTTTAATTTTTTAACACTTTGTCTGAATTGATTATTAAAGTTATACTGTGAATTTCATGAATGCCAGCTATTTTCTAAGGAAAAAAGTCTTTAAAATATAGTTTCAAGGTTGGCGTTGATCTCCCATCTATTTCAGCAAGGGTAATTTGTGTCTAAGCTAGAGACGTAAAAATGAATATGATGCTGCCATCGGCTAGCTCCTGTCAGACCCTGTCTGGAGTTCCAACTTGGCCAAACAACTTTCTCTGAAGCCCTTCTGAAATCTCTTTCTTTCTAGAATTTAAACTGATAGCTTCACCATGTCCCTCAAATTTTAATAAGTAAAACATGTCACATTCAAAGTCCGTACATTTTCTCATTATGTAATAACTCTGCATGTTTAGTGTTAGTTAAAACTGTTTTCACATCCTTTGATGCTATTGGCATTAATTTAGTAAACTAGATAGAAGATAGTTTGTTAACCTGTTGTTAAAATTTACATTTATGTACTACATGAATGAGATAATTAGAAAATCTACAAGACTTTTCAAATCATCATATTTCTTGAATGTATTCTTACATTATGTTAGAACCTACAAATGTTCCTAAACTCTTTCTTACTAACCC